GGACACTTCCAGGGACGGGACAGTCACAGCAATTCTGTAATAGACTAAGTAGGAAAATAATCCCTTTGGAAATATCTTCCCCTCCAGCTGCTGTCAGGAATCCTTTTCACCATTTAAAAAGTTACCAACCCTTATTACCAAATCTGGAATACCAGAAACATGCCCATGATGAAAAAGTTTACCAGAATGAGTAAATACTTCATTTAAATGCAGCAAAGATGGAGAGAGAGAGAGAAGAACAAACAATTCATCCCCTTTTGCCTTATCCCAAAGGAGCTGAGGGAGCAACATTCCACACACTCATACAAGTATCTTGCTTGCAGACGGAATAGAATTGTATTTTAGATTATTTATGTAAGTAGCCGTCCTGACTTTCTGCCACCTGCCCCCCTCCCCAATTTTTTTTTGGTGGAAAACTTATGTTTCTTGCAGCTGCATCTGGAGTTTCATTCCATTTGAGCTTTCTGTTTTTCTGAAAGCTCCCACATCATGGGAGTGTTTCCCATGGCTATTTACCAAAGCAACTGTAAGAATCCTGTAATAATGGCCTTTGATCTCTGACATACACAACACGTGTATGGAAATTTGGAAACTTCACATTCCTTACAGAACTTCGATACAAAATATAGAAAAATTACCACAGGAGACTAAATACATTGTTTTGTTTTTTTTTTTTTAAAGACAATCCAGGAGCAGGCAGTAAATTACTGGAATAAACCACAAGTGAGGCAGCCCTGAAAACTGTTGTGATTTAAAAAGTTCTAAAGCTGGGGGCTCATAAAGGAGCACTGTCATAAAGACCTAAGTGGTCATAAGTAACAGAGAGACAGAAGATAAGAAACAACTCTTTGCTGGCTCCTCCAGCTCCACAAGCAGCAACCCATAAATCAAAAAGAAATCTGCAAATTGAACTAGCAGGAGACCAAAAGAGGAGAGGCAACTCTTCCTGCAACAATTTTCCTAGGAGTCAGTCTGTGTTCATTGCTGCCCCCAGCAGAAGGGGCATCCTGAACACCAGAGGGGCTGGAACAAAAATTCCATGGAGAATGAAGTGCAGGCAGCCCAGAGCTGTTCAGAGGAAACCTTTAGAAGCTGATTGTAGCTTGCTGAAACAACACTAAGCTCACCTGGCTTTTCTTTTTTGATAAGAGATTTATTGTTGTTGTTCGTTTTGGCGGGGGGGGGGGGGGGCGCCAGGG